TATATATATATAGAACAATATGGGCGGGGGTCATTTGCATTGTCAAGGGGGACTTAGGCATGTATACTTTTGAAAACCCCTGATCCACAGCAAACCACCTGAGATGATTCCTAAAGTGGACAATGTGTAGATAATGACACATTGCCATAAAAAATTGTGTAAAGTTTAAACAGCGGCATCTTTTGTTGCATTCATATAATATAGAAACATATGCACGTTTCGACAACGTGTACACACTTCTTCAACTTTGTCCCTATACGCCAACTTTTAGTATGAAAACTACACAGTTTCATACTTGAGGCCTCTGGTCCAGTCAGGGGATGGTTGTTCAGAGAGTCTGGAAGAATAAGTCTGTGTTTTGAAATGTAGTGGAGGTTTAAAGTATTGTTCTTCTTCTGGCCTTATACTTTAACAAGGATAGGTCTTTGGTATTACTAGTGGCTGCAGAGTGTGAACACTTGTCACTCTATGACACACTTGCTCCCACAGTCTCAAAAATGTAATATAACCAAACATTTCTGGGTTGTTTTGGAGCTGTAGGTTGGGAAACTATTGTCCATGACCATTATAGGTTCTGGAAAATGTTCTGCTTGAGGAATGTGTTAAAATCTCCTTAGCAGCTGTTATATATGATTCTTTTTAAATGAACTTTATCAGTAATTGCAAAGTAGAACTAAGTCTGAATGAGCCCAGAGCAAAATCAAACTAAGTTCTTATTTCATTTGTCACCCGTCTATATACATACATATACTGTAAACGTGTATTCTACTATTACTTGTCACAGCAACTTTGTAACCTCCTGACTTACCTTTCACAAACACTTTCCTATCTCACCTCTTTAGCTGGCTGCAGCCTACCACTCCCAGGTGCAGCATTGTGCATGATGCTTGGATTATATTAGAAGTATAATTTGTGGAATGTTTAAGATTTTTTAACAAAGTTCAGTTGTTCTGTCTATGTGACTCCAGCTCAAATGGACCCAATTCAGAAGCTTTTCGTGGACTCTATACGTCAGTACTCAGCAAAAAGCCAGTAAGTTCCCTACCTCCAGATACAATGGGCCTCATGCAAGAACATGTTCGTATTCTTCTCCTAAATTTCTCTTACTTTTGTTCGTACAAAAGGTTCGTACGAACATGTCACGTCAGATTCAACAAACACTTCTATCTTCAGGAAACGTGCGTAAATGAGCTGCGTAATTTACACCTTTTCTATCCAGCTGCTCGTGCACGCGAGAGGAGATTAACATAATTACCACCCCAAAAACACCATACAGTGGTTTGCAAAAGTATTCATACCCCTTGAACTTTTCCATATTTTGTCACATTACAAC